TGGGGCCCCTGCTGCGGAGCCTTGCTGCTGGGACTTCTGGAGCTGCCATTCTGGCATGCRCTTTGTTGGTTGCCAGCCGCTTTCCCTGGGCAGGAACCGACGCCCTGTGCTGTGCTGCGKAAGGCTGGCTGCAGGGTGTCTGAACAACACGAGGCCTTCTGTGCAGCCTAGAAACAAAAACATCAAAGCCAGCCTCTGAAGAGCCCCCCTCTTCCTTCATTCCCAAGGGAACATTCTGGAAGACCCTGGACACCCTCATCATTGGACTGGGCTCCTCAGTCTTTTCTCTATGGCTTGAGAGCCCTTGAGTGCTGAATCCGTGGGCTTGTGTGGCTGTTCAGCAGGCTGCAGAGGAAGGGAAGCCACCGTCCCACCTCTCTGGAGACCTCGCTCCGATCCGGTGTTCCTGCACCAGGCTCCTGCCCTCACACCACCCTGGTGGGCACCCAGCCCCCCACTGCCTGCTGCTGCCCACCTGAGTCAGCCCCTTCCTGAATGCTCACCATCACCTACATCATCTACGCCATCACCACCTACACCCGTCACCTCTAGGAGCAGGAATTTTGTCTGCGAGGTTTTGTCTCTGTGAGTTACTTCACTCAAGGAAGCAATGAGTGTGGACGCCAGATGATGTGAAAGGCGGGCGGCGTCCACAGGAACATTCGCACACACATGTGGTGTATCTGGAGGACACCCCAGGTGTACCCACGCCAGTCACACCCAACTCCCAAGTGCACAAACATCCCAACTTCTCACTGAATGGATCTTTGCCACCAGAGTTGAGTTCCAGGGATTTTGACCTTGGTTGTCATTGTTGGGATTTAAGCTCTTCCTGGGTGGGGTGACTCACAGGAGCGTGGCAGGGGAGAGAGTGAGCCCTCTGTGAGAGGATRACACAGCCATGCTGGCCCAGCACACAGGTCACACAGGCCTCCGTGGCTGCGTGGCAGGAACGCTGTCTGTCTCCCTGGTCAGCCCAAGTGCAGAGCAGGACAGCTGAGATGGCCCGGCTCCAGGTGCAGGTGCCAGGACCCTGTTCTCCCATAAGCTTCTGCTTGGTCCTGCTAATTGGCCCTGGTCTAATTGCTGCCAAGTCCYACTGCAGAAGGCCCATTAGACACCACAAGCTAATCCCCCAGCTGTGGGCGAATTCTAACCGCATCTGATGCTATCTCTCTGAGTCACCTGCTTGCCATTATTCCCAGTGGGATGTGGGCCACAGTGGTTTCTGGAGTCGAAGAAGACTGAACCTGTCTCCATGGACATGTCCTCAGGCTCTGTCACAGACAAGCTCTATCGTCAGCAGGGCCCCGGCTGGCCAGCTCTGCCTTCCTGATGTGGAACCACTGGGTGTGGGGGAGGCCAGCCAGGCCCGCAGGGACAGAGTGGGCACCAGGCCTGCAGTGGGCACGCCTTGCCTTCTGGCCAGAGCGAGGCCTGGGCTGCTCAGCTTCTGGACTGTCAGCCTGTGGCCTGTGGGTCTGGGTCCTCAGCCTCTGTCTTCAAGAGGGAGGGGACATGAGCTCTCTCCAGCGGCCACCCTTCCTGCCTGCACCTCCCACCACACTTGCCTGTCTCTGCCACCCATGGCCTCTCCCTGTCACCCTGCAGTGGCTTCTGCCAGACTCAGATTCCTTCTTGCTCTAACTCTAGGATGTCAAATGCCCCTGACTCTGAAACTCAGGACCTGGAAGCTGCCACCCTGCAGTGGGGTAACGAGGAGGGACTCGGGTGCACACAACCCTGCCACAGAGACTCAAGAGAGGAGGACACCAACCTGAAAGAGGGCAGTGGCCGGCAAGACGGGCCTATCCCCAGAAAGCACTGGCTGGGCTTGGGACACCAGCTCATCCCTGATGTGAGCCCCAGGAGCAGCGGGGAATCCTGGAGCTCATCCTCTGTAAACTGACCCTCAACTGCCGTCCTAAATTTAGAACACACATGGGCTTTCCGCCTCCAGCAGTGTGGCCTGGTCCTTACTCTGTTGCTTTGATGCCTCTGGAGGAATTTGCTATTTAAGGACATCCTATGATTAATCACTTCATAAAGCAAAAGCCATCTCCGCTGTTCTGTGGGGAATAGCTGTTTTCACAGGTGGGTGTTGCTCAAAGCAGGGCTGCCAGTTTAAAAAAATATAGATGCCCAGTTGAGTCTGAAATTCAGACAAACAATAAATATATTTTTTATTAAAAGTATGTCCCAATGACTGCATGGGACTCCCACATGTGACAGAGCTGAATTGTGTTGCCCCCAGAATTTGTATGGTACCAGGGATWAAACCCAGGGGTGCTAAACCACTGAGCCACATCCCCAGCTCTTTTTATATTTTATTTAGAGACAGGGTTTTGCTGAGTTGCTTAGCACCTCACTAAATTGCTGAGACTGGCTTTAACTCAAGATCCTCCTGCCTCAGCCACCCGAGGTCTGAGGTCATAGGTGTGGCCACCGCGCCTGGCTGTATGTTGGAGTTCTAACCCCAGTCCTTCCGGGTGTGACTTTACTTGGAGATGGGGTCTTTACAGAGGTAATCCAATTAAAATCTCGTCATTAGGGTGTGGGTGACAAAGTAATATGGCTTATGTCCTCATTAAAAGGGAAACTGAGGACACAGACACACCCACAGGAACACGAGGGTGGAGACCAGGGTCAGTCGACACGCCAAGGGTGTCCAAGATGCCAGCAAAACGCCCCACGCTGGGACGGGCCTGGGACAGGTTTGCCCTGGCAGCCCCGGGAGCCAGCCCACCCTTCCTGGCTGCCTGGCTTCCAGAGCCAGGAGCCGACCCCGTCCTGTGGTCTAGGCCACCCAGTGTGAGTGCTGTGTTCCCGCACACCTGGTGACCCTCGTGACAGCCACTTGGTTTGTTCAGGGAGAGCTTGGGACCCCAGAGCAGGGGATTTCTGCTCTGCCCATCCCTGATCTGGGCCAGGGGGTCTCCACAGTGACAAATTCCCGGTCTCCGTAGCATTTTGTGTCCCTRTTTGGGGTGGTGGAAGGAGCAATCCTGTGAAGCCCATCGAGCCTGGTTCTATAAGTCAGGGTGACAAGGGAGGGTCCCGCAAGGGGGATCCAGAGCCGCCCAGGTCAGGGAGCGAGGGAGCCCAGGCGTGGTCAGGGACACCCTGCCGTAGAGCCTGACCCCTGGACCCCAGACYGGCTCCATGGGGCTTGTCTGATGGAGAAGGGCAACCCCGGGGCTTGTGGAGGGAGGCCGCCCAACCTCTTGTGGCCTGAAGGTGACCGGCCTGCAGCCAGGGCTGCGGGTGCTGGATTATTGCTTCCTGGATCTCGTGGGTCGGGCTTCCTTCCGGGGCAGCAGCCCTGGCACGGCAGCTCCCTCCCCGCGAATAGCCGCGGACACGTGTATCCTGGCCATCTGGGTTGAGAGCATTTCCTCTTCATTGTTTGAAGGAAAGTTCAGGGCAAATATGGAAAAAGCCGCAAGTGGGGCGGGCTGCCCGTGCCCCCAAAGGTGTAGCCACGCCCGGAACGTGGCCTGCCCTGCAGGGCCAGGAGTGGCCCCAGGTCCCCCTTCCCGGGGCCTCTCTCTGCAGCCTGGCCCCCCATCGAGGCAGGAGAACCTGGGGAGCTGTGGGGTCCACGAGGACAAAGTGCACATCCCTCAGGGCTGCAGGGGCCCCACTGCCTGCAGCAATGTGCACCTGAGGGTGCTCCTCCAGGCCCCTGCCCCTCAAGCTGCAGCAGCAGGGCTTGGGTGCTCCCCGTGGGTGCAGGACCTACCTGCCATCTGTCACCCTCTAAAGTACTAATGGAGAATCTGTCGCCGTCACCCCCGTTCAGCCTGGTGCAGAACGGACCTGAGGCTGCTGCRTGTAATTATTATGGGTGGAGGTCGAGAACCGCCACTGTCCAGACAGGCCGGAACCAGTGCCCTGGATGAGTCCGTCTGAAGATGGGAGTGGGGACAAGCAGCCTGGGACCCTGCCCTGCCCAGCCTCTCCCATGCCAGCTGCCTCCACGCAGCCATGGCTCCAGCAAGTGTAGCACCGTGCCCCAAGTGCCACTTCTCAGTGCTTGTCATGCCCCATGCCTCTCCCCCCCTTCTCCAACACACACCCCACACCTAAGCACATGCCCCTCCAGTGGGATGCAACCAAGTCTCTCTGTTATGGACGAGGAGACAYAGCAGAAGTAACATGTGCCACTTCTGGGAGTCATGTTCCTTTAAGGAGAGAATGTGCCTTCCAGTCCCCTTTCTCCTCCCCAGTGGCTGGAATGTCAATGTAATGGCCCAAGTTCCAGCAGCCATGTTGGGCCAAGGAGAAGGCATTTCAGGCAGGAGAAGCCCAACCCCTCACTTTGGTCCTGGGTACTCTACCATTCAGCTACATCCGCAGCCTTTTGGATTTTTTATTTTGAGACAAGTTCTTGCTAAGTTGCCCATGCTGAACTTGAACTTGAGATGGTCCTGGCCTCGGTCTTCCAAGTAGCTGGCGTTACAGATGTGAGCCACGGCACTTGGCTCAGTGTGCGCGGAAGTGAGAGGACACCACTCTGGATTTTTCCACCTTATGAATGACAGATCTAATAGCTAATATATCCAAATGACAGAAATGTGTAGCTGTGGTTTTCCTTAAAGGGAAATACTGCCTTACTTTTCTTTGTGCTCCTTTCAGGATGTGGCACATAGTAAGCAATTTGATTTGGTTTAAACTTGTAAAATCCYGCTGCCTGGGGGAGTTCTATACAGCACCCGGCTTTATACAGCACCCGGCTTCCTGCTGTCCCACCGCCCTGGCCTTTGTCTCTCCTGAAAACAGCCTCTTTGACATTCCAGACAGGGCTTTTTGAGGGAGGCCATGCTCAATTTGGCCCGATTTCTGTTGATCTTGGTCTGGATTATATCACTTCTTAGGTCAAACCTCTGAGATCTGAAGTCACCCCGAAGGCCACTCTGGGCAGCTCCTTGCACGTCAACAGAGCGTCCGAGCCAGGCCACGTGTGGGGTCAGAGCCGACGAGAGGAAGGGCTTCCAGGAAGGAAGGGCCGGTCAGCCGGCAGATGCAGCCCAGGTGGGGAGGCAGCCTTCCGCTGCGGGACCGTGACCCTGCACAGGGTCCTCTGGTAGACGCAGAGAGTCAGGCTGCCAGCGCCCAGAAAGGGGGGCAAGGAAGCAAAGCAGCCAGAACCCGCCCTTGCTGAGGAAACTCTGGGGCAGGGACAGGTAGGGCAGTAACTCCGGAGCCACGGGCGGCCCTCTTATGTGGGATTTTCAAGGGGAGGGTGGTGTCCTGTTCTACCTATAGCAACAATCTCTCCCTGGCCTGGGTTTTCTCCCTGGGTTTCCTCTTTTCCCTAAGAGRTCGGGAAAAGGGGATATTTTATATTTTTCTGGATACACAGCTCTGTTATCCGTATTGTTTATGTTTTTTCAAAATGTATTTGCTTACTTCTGTCACTTAAATAGAAACCAAAATTCTGATAAAGAAAAAAGAGCTGGGTGCAGGGACATACTTGGCAATCCCAGCAATGCGGGAGGCTGAGGCAGGAGGACCACAACTTTGAGGCCAGCCTGGACAACTTAGTGAGAAGTAAAAAGAGCTTGGAATGTAGCTCAATGGTAGAGCATCCTTGGGTTCAATCCCCAGCACCAAAAAGAAAAAAGGAAGGAAGGAAGGAGATTAAAGAGAGAGAGAGGCTGGGGTTGTGGCTCCGTGGTGGAGCACTTGCTTGGCATGTGTGAGACCCTGGTTCTAACCTCAGCGCCACATAGAAATAAATAAATAAAACAAAAGATCCATTGACAACTAAAAATAATTATTAAAATAAAAATAAAAAGAGAGAGCAAGAGAGACAGGGAAATAGATAAATGATTAATGAATGAATAAAAATAAAACCCCGGGCTGGGGTTGTGGCTCAGAGGTAGAGCGCCCGCCTCGCATGTGAAAGGCACTGGGTTCGATGCTCAGCACCATGTAAAATAAAATAAAGATATTGTGTCCGCCTATAACTAAAAAATAAATATTAAAAAATGAATTAAAAAATAAAATAAAAGGGCAAGGGATGTCTGCCCTTTGCCTTCTCTGGGAATGGGACTTGTTTACAACCATGTGGCTTATCAGAAAAGGGGTCCCTGGTGAGAAAAACATTGGGAATTCCAATTGTTACAAGGACCTGGCTTTGGGCAAAAATGTCAAAACAGGGTGGTAGGGCAGCCTGCCCTCCACCAGGAGACAGATCTAGGGACCTCCCTTCAGTGCCAGGGTTCCCCAGAGAAGCAGGACAAACAGAATATATGAAAAATGCAGAAAAAGATTGATCTGATGTGATTAGTCTGTGATGACGGAGACGCCCCATGTTCTCTGTCTGTAAGGTGCAGGGGCAGGAAAGCCGAGGTGTCCATCCTGGTCTGAGTCTGAAGACCCCAGGACCCAGGGCAGGAGAAGACAGACGTCCCCACTGAAGCAGAGAGTGACTTCGCCCTCCCTCTGCCTCACTCTCCTCTGCTCTCGTGGATGGGATGAGACCCCCACCCCCGGGAGCCGAGGTTTCCCTAGTCTGTCTACTGATTCAAATGCTCACCTCTTCTGGACACCTCCTCAAAGTCACTTCCAGAATTTGTATTTTACCAGCTGAGTGTCCCTTTGCTCAGTCAGGTTGACACATAAAATTAACTGTCCCATAACCCCAATGTGTGCCATGCGACTCCAAAGCTGCAGTCTGTGAATCGCTCCCTACCTGGCCTCCCACAGCCGACCGCACAGCCGACCCCGGAATCCCACGGTATCTGTCCATTCCTCAGGGAGCAAAACGAAGCCGACCAAGGTCCTGCAGCCCCAGAGTGGCCCCGTTGGAATTTGACCTTGTGCCTATCGGTCCTCCGATCTGGACGCCGTCTACTCGGAGCTGGCCGGGCCGGCGGAAGGGCTGGCAGCACAGTGTGTGCTGCGGGGTGGATGGAGCTCCGGGGCCACTGGAKATGAGTTTCCCTACATTTGCGTTTACTTCCCAGGCATCTGCTGAGCGCAAGGCCTGGCACTGACCTCCTCGAGGCGTAAGAGGAACAATGCCAGGGCCCCCCCCAGGAGCTGGCATGGGCTGGCAGGCAGGGGCGCGGGAGTTTTTCGGGTGCACCTGGTAAGTGTGTGGGAGCCCAGGAGAGGGGGACTATTCCCTGCAGGAAGGYGGGGTCGGACGAGCTCTGAGGCCTGAACAGGGCTTGAGAAGGCTACGAGCAGAGGAGCAGCCCAGAGGGAAGTGGAGGCTCCAAGGCAGACGTGTGGGAGGCGCGTTGGGGACAGCAGATGAGTTTGTCTGGAACAGCCAAGGTGGTGACGGGGCCAGAGGAGGGAAGCTGGGGAAGTACAAATAGAATTGATTCGGTCTTTAAAAGAAGGGGAATTCGGACGCCTGCTCCACATGAGCACACCTTGGGGACACCAGGCCAAGCCCACTAAGCCAGACACAAAGGAAACACCCCAGGCCACTGGCATGCGGTCCCCAGGAGTGGGAGTCATAAAGATGGAAGGTGGAGTGGTGGTCCTGGGGCCTGGTGGCGGGGGCGGAGGGGGCGCTTAGTGGCCGTCAGTTTGAGGAAGTTCTGGACACGGTGGTGGGATAGCTGCACCAAGAAGTACCCAAGGCACCGAGCCCGCACCTGAAAGGGTAAAAGGGCAGGTTTTCTGTTGTGTGTAATTTACCACCATTTCTTAAATAAATAAAAACTTTTTAGAAGATTGGAAGGAGCAGACATCTTTTGAAGGAGTAAATGCCACATGCTGCGGAGTGTGGACTTCACCCCTCAGCCTTCTATTGCTGTGCGGTCAAGACCTCTGACCCTGGCGGCCACCAGCAGCCACCAATTCCTCTGCTCCCAGTTCTGTGGGCCAGGGACCTGGGGCCCTGCTGAGGAGCTCTTTTGCTCCATGTGGAAGTGGCTTGGGTCTCCCATGTCATTGCTGCCAGGTGGTAGCTAGGCCTGGGATGTTCAAGAGGGTTTCACTCTGGTCTRGCAATCGCAGGGATGCATGGGAGACGAGGACCTCTCTTTTTCTCCCTACATCAGTAACGTGGTGGACGGGCCCCAAGCAGGAGCTTCCCAAGCAATCACGGCAGGAACTGCATAACTCTTACAGGCGAACCTCAGAAACCGCAGAGCCTTAGTGCCACCCATTCTATTGATCCAAGTTCAGAGGGAAGGAAAAGCCTGCCTCTGAAGGAGAGAGAGGCCAGGTCACTCTGCAAAGGACGGGTAAAGAGAGAGGGATTGTTGGCCAGAAAAAGTCTTGGACCAACTTTTTTAAAAAGTTTGCTTTTTTGGTGCTTGAATCAAACTGAGGGCTTTGCACATACTAGGCAGCAACTCTGCCACCCAGCCAGAACCCCAGTCCTCGGAGCAACTTTTATATGTGTACATGCTGCCTTCCTGGCGGGGATTAAACCTAAGGCTTCGCATAGACTAGTCAAGCATCCCACCACTGAGCCACATCCCCAGCTTTTTTTATTTTTTATTTTGASACAGGTCTCGATAAGTTGCCCAGTCTGGACTTGAATTTGCAACTTTCCGCCTCAGCTTCAGCATCCAGAGTAGCTGGGATCAGGGTGCACCACTATGCCAAACATGTTACTTTATTKGTAAATTATACTCATGCATTATTGTTCTGACCCATTACGCATTTATAAAACTTGCACAAAAAATGGAACTAGGCAGACTTACTATACAGTTAGCAACATTTTGAAATGATTTTAATTTTTGTYCTCAATATGGGTACAAAAGCTTTTCTCTCAAATATGTCAATGATCAAATTTTGTTGGTGAAAATAATGCAATTGAGTATGGTTCATTCTTCTTTTTAAAATAATCCTGCTGTAATAATAGGCTTAGTGAGCTGAGGTTGCTTTTATATATATATGTAAGTACCTTATTTTAATATTTGGACTTGATGAGCATCGTAGCTGAAGAATACACAGCCCAATATGGGAGCCAGAAGGCAGAGGGCTCTCTTGTTCACCCACAGAAAATTATCTTTCTCTTTTAAATTCACCAGTTATACAAAGATTTTTGTTTGTTTTCAAAATATGATGAATAACTTTCCATTATTTGTGCTGTCAACTGCTACTTTTGCAAAGTATTTTTAATAATGTCTTCAAAATCCACCACTTCTCTCTCTGGGATGATTTCTAGATTAGAGACTCTGTTCCAAGTTTGTTGTTGTTGTTTAAAGTGTGCAGATATGAAAGAGTTTTTAATTGACACATTATTAGCTGCTCACTCCCTTAAAATCCCATGCAACAATGTAACATTTCCTAACAGGTTTTTGGAAATGGTCCATTGCATAAGATAAAGCGGTTACTTTCTTAGGATGATGAGCATGTCACTTTTCCCTGAAGTGTCGGAATGTGCGTGTGTGTGTGTGTGTGTGTGTGTGTGTGTGTACACGCAAGTGCGCACATACATACGTACGTTTATGCTCACGCTTTTAAGAATGTGCTGGGGAGCCAACAGCTGTGCCAAGAACCACTTGCTGTGGACAAAGGGCCAGCAGATTTGGGACACTCGTTCTAGGTCTATTTGTTTAAACTCAATGGGTCTTTTAAATGTCTGTCACATGATCCACTGAATTTCTGGAACAAAAGACTTTCTTCATTCCTGGCAAAACATTGAAAAGATCCTTGTCTGTTTAAAGGTCCAGTTTTTTGTTGCGTTGTTTGCTTTTTAATCAAGCTAACCACTTCCTGTGGGCTGCACTTCCGGCTCATCCTTTCCCTGCTTTGGGGGTGCAGGTAGTGAACTCCCAGTCTGAATTACCTTGGTAGCCCAATCCTGAATTCCTTTTTTTTTTTTTTTAATTCCAAGTCAAATGTAGCTCCGGCAGCTTTGAGTTTTCCAATGACACATTGTTTTACCTGAAGAGATCATTTACAGAAGAGCAAGAACTCTCTGGTTGTCATTCCTTAGTGGCTCATAAGAAAAGCAGTTCTTCATGGACTTCAACCTTGATACCTGACCTTTTTGGACACAGTAACAGCATCTGTAGTTTTATCCAGTCGAGCAAACTTCCCACTGAAAATTTCTAATGAACAGCCAAATGTTTRTGAGTATTTTCTGGGCATTTCCAGCCGTATTTGTTGACAAAGGAGTGCATTTTGGTGTCTTACCATCTCGTATTCCATTATTTACTCCATATAAGCATTTGCCCACTGATACTGCCTCTTAGACACTTTTTGTTGTTGTTTAACAACAACAACAAAAAAAAAACCCTCAAAAGGAGTTCCTAAACATTTTCCACTAAGTTGTTGAGAGTTCATAAAGCCTGGGGCTGGGGTGGAGCTGGGGTACAGCGCTTGCCCACCATGCACAAGACGATTCCCAGCACTACAAAAAAAAAAAAAAAAAAGTTTTGTCAAGAACTGCATTGACAGTGATCAGTGATCACCACCTGTTATGGTTTCAATATGAGCTGTCCCCCTGCAGAAGCTCCTGTGTCTGACAATGCAAGAACGTTTAGAGGTGAGATGATGATTGGTCATGAGACCCTCTACCCAACCAGTGCACTAATCCAGTCAAATGGACACCTGGGTGTGGCTAGAGGAGTCATGGGRGGCCTTGGGGTATATATTTTGTCCTTGGTGAGCGAAGCTGAGTCTCCCTCTGCTTCCCAGTGCCATGTCCTGAGCTGCTTCCCTCCACTTCACTCCTCCACCACGACGTTCTGCCCCATCTTGGGCCCCGAGGAATGGAGCCGGCCGCCTATGGACTGAGAGCTCTGAAACCCCGAGAGCCAAATAAAGTCTCCTCTAAAATCGTTCTTGTCAGGACTCTGGGTTACAGCAGCAAAAAGAGCTGAGTAATACACCACCCCAAGAAACGGAAATGGGGTGAGGAGAAGAGGGAGAGAGGGAGCTTCCAAGGGAGAGGGCCTCTCTCCGTCTGTGGAGAGAGGGCCTTTCCTTGTCAGCTCTGACAAATAAAATAAAAAAATAAAGGGCAGAGGGTCTCTGGGATGAAGTTTTCTGACAATCAGGGGTCACTGTGAGGGCACAGAGACAATGATTATTGAACATGTCCTATGTCCAGATATTGTGCTGACTCTGGGGACAAACCTACGAAATAAATGCTGCCCCTCATTTACTTAAAAAAAAAAGAAAGAAAGAAAAAGAAAAGAAAAGAAGAACYGGTTTGAGGACACTTTACACACCACGCTCAGGGCTGAGGCTGGTCCTGGGTTCCGGGTGCTCAGTTCCAGGGTRTTGCTGAGGGAAGTGGCCTCCTGCAGTCTGGAGCAGAGAGGGAGGCACAAACCCACCTCGATGGAAACGCCTGGCTTGTCCTGCCCGATGAGGTCCCCGTGGTGCTGGCCTGCGTTTGCCAGCTCCGTCGGCTCGTGTGTGGTGGGTTTCCCCACCAACAACCAGTTCTCCAACACCAACTCGATGATCGGCAGTTGAATTCAGTCCTGATACTGTCTGCCTGGAGTTGGGTCAGACTCCCAAATTATGAGACTTCTCCCAATTTAGATGCCAGCCACCAACGGGGTCCCCAGGCCCCCCACATTTCTGCCCAGCTGACGATAAGTTCACGAGCTCACACCCACCCCTCAGGTTTGGTAGAGTAACTCTCCAGAAGACTCAGAACTCAGGAAAGGGGCTGCTTCTGGTCAAAGTTATGACAAAGGAGACACTGAAAAGCTGGATGGGAGGTGTGGGGGATGGGAGGTGTGGGGCGGGGTCTGGAAGGGTCCCGAGCTGCAGTGTCTGTCCCCGTGGAGATGGAGGTGGCCTTCTCCTGGCCCGTGCACGAGTTCACAGACTGGCAAGCCCCCTAACTCAGGGTTCTGATGGAGACTTCAGGCAGAGACTCAGTTGATGAAATCGTTGGCCTCTGAGGATCAGCTCCAGCTCCAGCCCTCTCCTCTCCCTGAAGGTTGGGGGCAGGGGCTGAAAGTTCCAACCCCCTAATCATGGCTGAGTCTTTCTGGTGACCAGCTCCCTCTCTGAAGCTGTCTAGGTGTCCCCCTCTACCCCATGACTCATTCACTGGCATCAAAAGACCCGTTACCCAGAAGAGTTCAAAGGTTTTAATAGAACTGTGCCAGGAACTGGCGGTAAAGATAAAAAATATATATWTTTTTTAATTTAAAGTTGTTTTTTTTAAACACACCTATTGTTCACATGGGCTTGGATATTAGGATTATTTTCAATTTGGGGATCTTTTCCCCCAGGTCATTTTGTTTCGTTTGTGGGGTGCGGGACCCACGCCTGGGACTGGCACACATGAGGTTAAGTGCTCTACCCCTGAACTCCACRCCCCTGATGGATTGTTTTTAAAACAGTTACCTAAGTTAAAATCCAGTAGTATAATCCATCCATCCATAGTCAGTCCTCTCATCTGAGGACAAGTGGTGGTAAATGTCACAGGACAGTAAGAAGGGACAGACGTGGGTGAGAGCTAGTTCCCCAGGGTTCCATGCGTGGGCATAGCTTGACCCATAGCCCAGATGGGGACTGCTGTCAATCTGAGTGATAAATATTTGTACTAAGAAACAGAGGTATGGAGAGTCCCTGGGTGGAGTGACTTGTCGGGCTTCATCCCACACACGGGCACCGGGGGCTTACTGGGTTCCAGAGCTGAGGCGAGAGCGTCCGAAACCACAGGGCAGATGTGAGCCAGTCCTCGGCCTTGAGACTCCCGAAGCTCGGCCATCAGTCCAGAGGGCACCAAAGTCCTGTCCCAGCTCATCACATCAAGGGGTGGGGGTGCCGACAGCAGGGCGGGGGCTCTAGACGGGGCCATGAGTCAKGGGGAAAGGGTCACTACAGATAAACTTCCAGGAGGAAGTGCGCTGCTGGCTGAATTCTGAGGGTCAGAGTGACTTGTGGCCTACGGGATGCCCACAAGTTCAGGAAGCCACCAGGACAGCAGGGTAGCCAGAGCGAAGGTCCCCAGTTGGGGTCAGGAGGAAGAGAGGTCAGCGAGAGGCCACGTCGCCGGTCTGGGTGTGAGGGGCGGGGGTCTTGATGTCACTCAGGGCAAATGGCTGAGGAGGGGCTGAAGGAGGGAGGGGGTGGGTCACATCTGAGTTTTAGGAGACCTTTCTCATCACAGGTGGGAGGAGGATGCCCGGGGAGGAGGCAGAAGGCAGGAAGCCAGCGAGGGGTCAGTGTCACTGTGAAGTAGGACAGAGGGTGAGTCCTCAAGAAGGGGAGCGACCTGCAGCAGCTACTCAGGGTTACAGGCCTGTCCCCACACAGGGAGCTCACGTAGACAAGATGTCGCTCAGGGATCCCAGGCCACTTGCTTTCGGCTAACTGGCTATGCCTTCAGGGGTCCCCATACGTGCGCCTCACCTCCAACCAGCCCCTAGAATGACTCAGAACTCAAGAAAGTGCCATACTTAAGGGTCATGGTTCTGCTTTTTTTTTTTTAATATCAAAGGACACAAATCAGAACTGGGCAAAGAAAAAGGTCAAGAAGGTGACACCGGGCGGTTCCAAGGCGAAGCTGCTGTATTCCCTGAGGTCTCACCACCCTCTCTGAATTGAAGTGCCACGCTATGGAGTGGTGGCAGGCAGGGACGTTTGCCTGAGCCTCGGAGCCCAGGTTTGTTGGGGTTTCCTGGTGTAGTCACGAATGACGGCTCACYGGCCATGTGGCTGAACGCACCCTAGTCCCTCCCGCTAAGTGGGGTCCACATTGTGGCCAAAACCCCACAACACCCAATGACCGGTTTTCCTTTCTGGAGTGACAAGTCCCACCCTGAGTTATTGTCTTGTCAGGTCACCTCCATGRGTGGCCTCCCTAGTAATCCAGGTGTGGTCAGGGCCCACCACGAATAGCAAGGACTTCTGTGTTGCCCGGGGGCTTCCCAAGGTCAGAGCCCCTCCTCGCCGACACAGGCCAGCCAGATGCCTCACAGTTCAGGAGCTTGGGTGGGGCGTGTGGAGTTGTTGCTTGGGGATCTTGGGAATCCACAGCTCGAGTGTGTCCCTTGGCGCTTGTGTTCCCGCAGGAGAAGATGTCAGGCGAGACGTTAAACGTAGTAGAAGTACAGCAAGGTYTGTTAGAGAGAAGGGAAGGACCTCACGGAGAGGAGAGGGACCTGACGTTCCCCAGTTTTGTGGAGTCTCAGGGAAGTTTCTAGAGGGTTTGGCCCAGGTACCACCTCTCAACTTTTGAGTGACAGTAGGATGGCATCAGGTTTTCAAGTCCCTCCTGCCCCTGTTTTTTCCACAGGGATCCAAGTGGAACCCAGGTGTGGGGTGGCGTTTGCCATCGCAGTGAGATTGAACTGAGATTTGAAGTGACCTGTGCTGACTGGTTCCAATGGGCCCTGGTTGGTATAGATTTCATGTTGGTGGGCTTTGCTTTTAACCGTCCTGGGTTCCTGGGTAAAAGCCACAAGAGCCCCCTTCCAGGACAGTCTGTTCTGACCAGGAGGAAGGAGTCTTTCATTCCTCACCTGGAAAATGGCACTAAGGGTACAGGTTGTTTGTCAAGGAATGTCACATCCTATTGACTTAAGCCAGCGCAGGGCCAGAAGGGCCTCAGGGAAATCGCTTCTGAAAAGAAAGTGCCAGGAGGGAGCACAGGCCCCGTCTGCGGAATGACCTCTTCATTTCACGTTGTTCCCACCGCTCTGAGTGAGGGGCCTGGAGACGGGAAGGTGGAGGGTATGTGGGAGGGGTGTCTGGAGGCGTCTCCCCCTGGGGACAGGGCAGAGGCTCCTGGGAGGCGGAGCCTGTTGCTCCTGACACCACTATTGGCTGTGGGGCTGTTGCTACAGGTTTCAGCCAACTGTTCAAACCAGGTTCCAACAAGACAGGCGGGTTGTAGCCAAGGGCTCCCTCCTCAAGCACTTCCTTTTTTCTTTGAATCCCTTCCTTTTCTCTGGCTCTGGACAACCTGCCCTTGAGGTGGGGGACCTTCTGAACTGGGCTGCTGCGGATTTTACAATCTCAAGTAAACGAAGATCTACAGAAACGAGATCTGCAGTCTTGTCTTTTGACACAGCTCCGAGGGAAGTTCTGCTACGGTGCATCTACACACGGAGTTAGGTTGCAGTGCACTGTGTGTAGGAAGCCAAACTAAACTCTGTGTGGGGGGGGCATATTTTAAGGACAAGCCCTCCCTCCCCCAGAGCCCCACACCCACTCCAGGTCATAGAGCTAGGGCAGCGGAAAGGTTTTCACCATGTGAGACTT